TAAAAACACTTGTTTTTGAAAATTATCCAAAATAATAGAGTTTGAAGCAATTTTTGGATAAGATAGAGAGTTTTGCATTCAGATTTTTTCTTTTTTAAGATAGAGAAATTTAAAAATTGCTATAAAATTGTCAAAAAATATTTCTTTCTTTTTAAATTTATGTCATATTTTGCCATCAAAATCTTATTTTCGTGAAAATGACAGATAGAGACTATTGAATATAATCCCTCGATATATTTTTTAGTTGTTTTTGAAGAAATTTCTTCAATTTAACTAATGAATTTAGTTCTCATTAATAATATTTTTATTCATAATGAAGAATTTTTCTTAATTTTAACTACCATATTTTAGTTAATTTCTAAATCCCAGTAAACATTTTCTTTCATTATCTGAGAAAATGTTTATATAAATTATAAACAGTAAAGTATTTTTTAACTTGTATTTTTTTTTAATTCTTGTAATTTTTTTACTGTTTATAAGTTATATAATATTGTCATTGATAGTAAAAGAAAATGTTTTTGACAAAATAAAATTATAAAAAGCTAAATTATATAATTAAATTAAAAGTACAAATTTATTATAAGAATTAATATAAATAAGTAAATTAACATTTAAAAAAATATTGTAAAACAATTTACGTTTTTTAAAGTTTTATATCAAATGTTTTGATAGGTGTGAACTAAATATGTTTTAAACGTATGGTAAATCTTGTACACATTTTTGTTGGCGGTATAAAAAAGTTGTAAAAGGTAAAATATGGTAAAAAAATACCAATACAATGACCATCTGGAAAACAAATAAAATTATATTTTTTTAAAAGTTATATGGATAAAATATTTGAACACTTCCTTTCACTCACACAGTGGCCTCCGGTAGGTTAGTTGTTAGTGTTCTAGTCTGTTAGACCGGAGGTGGTGGGTTCGATTCCTACCTGAGGCACTGGTTAATGAGCGTACAACAGGCCCGATAGTGGCCTAGGTGTATTTCTTCAGATTTGATATAGTATATACATTCTCCTTTCAAACTAACTACTTTCACTTATGTTATCCATTTAGTTCATATTTTGGGATAAATGTTTACAAAATTGTTCCTTTATGCTATCTGCAAACACGGAGTCAAGTTTTAAGGAGAAATTTTCACATACTGTGTTTGGATATAATTGAATTCCTTATCTACCTACAAGAAATAAACAAACATGACATTAAATGTATAAATATGTTGTTGAGTTTTAAATAATAACTTACCTGTGACCATTTGTTTAATATGTCACATTTCGCATGAGACACAACGTGGAGTCGGTAATTTTTTGTTGCACCTAAATAGAATTTAAATTTGTTTGTATGTATCCAGTGTTTTATTGAAATAAGGCCTCTCTTGGACAACGCCATATTATTTCAGCTTATGCATTATATTAAAATATTTGTTGTATAATTAATCTTGGGGTTTCCTTCCAGATTGCTTTATATAGTAATATTCCTAAATAATAAAACAAATATCAGTGCTATATGTATGTATATTCATATAAAAATACAACGAGGTCTTACCAGAGATTCACAATACTTTCAGCTATTTTTATAGATAAATTGACAGAATATGTTTTGACATAAGTATAAAACACTTCATATTAAAAAACATTTAAAATTTGTATTTATATTCAACTAGCTATACCCAGTGTGTTTTGCTACCCTAAAAGGAATATGTATAAATAAAAATCCCACTTAACGATTTTGAAGATTCTAACTACAATAGTTTTCCAGATTTATAATATGTTACATATAAGAGATGTCAAGCAAATTATTGCAAGTTCGCCAGTTTTTATCTATCGTCAATTTATATCTATCTATAAAAAATTTGAATAATATAAGAGCTTCCAAGATGCACGAAATTTTGTATTTAATTCATACATGTTGTGCCAAGCCACCCATTGAAAGTCCGCCCGTTATGCTCTAAATGTTCACATGAATTTCAAAGTTCTTCGTGTAAAATTTGAAGATTCTAGCTCTAATAGTTTCTCAGATATACGAATTTTTCTATTTGAGCTTGAAGCCCCCGCATGAAAGTCCAAAATGTTCAGAGGAATATTAAACTAATTTGAGCAAAATTTTATAAATCAAGTTCTATTAGTTTTCCAGATAAACGAAATTTTATATTTAATTCATATGGGAGGTGCCAAGTTCCCCATTGAAAGTCCGCCCGTTATAAAGAAATTATATATATATATATATATATATATATATATATATATATATAGATAGATAGATAGATAGATAGATAGATAGATAGATTTTTAATTATTTTTAAATTATTCTTTTATATTGCGAAAAAAAAACTATGAAATTTCTTCAGTTCTACATGTCTTTATTCAATTTGAATAAAATAAAATAGTTAAATTTAACGAAATTTCTTTAAAGCCACAACCCTATTTCATTATTTCCTCTTCTTTGTATTTTATTTTGTTTTTTATGTTTTGTTGTGAGAAATAAAGAAATTTCTTCGAACATTTTTTTTAATTAACGATATATTCTTCAATTTAACTACCTTCAAGGGTGTAAAATTAACTATTTTAGGTGTAGATTTGAATAATTGCGATTTTACTATTTTACCACTGTTTTAACTAAATTTCTGTTGATTTAACAAAATTTTGGATGTAAATATAAAGAAATTTATTCATATTAACAGATTAAATTGACTAAATTTTTTAACAAAAATAAAGTACTAAATATGAAGAAAATTCGTTTATATGAATAAAATTTCTGTAGATTTGAATAAAAAAACCTGTAGATTTAACTATTTTTTTCGTTAAGGGTTTACTAAAATTTTTCGGTAATATTACTTACGATATTTTTTTCTGTGTACTAAGGTGAAGTAACAGTGATTGTGAAGAGATCTTTGCAGCAAGTCGTAAGTTTATGTTCTCAATGAAAAAAAAAAAAAAACAAACAACACAACAATTTCAAAAGATAAAAAAAAATCAAATTATATTAAATTATTTAAACAAGATTTTCTTGAATTTAAAATTCTTTTTTTTTCCACATTTTACACTAATAAATAAACTGTTTTTAATAAAATCTTAGTTTTTTTTTTTGTTTTGTTAAAGCTGTCTGAGTATTACCACTTTATAGTGAGTGTTACCACTTTATATATAAATTTTAGATCAAAATATTTTATGTCATTTTAACAAAAAGTTTGTACTTTATAATTCTTTCGAGTACTATTGGTAAAATTTTTTTTACATTTTTTATATTTGAACTTAATTTTAGCAAAATCCGTATAAAGCTGCACAAAAAACATAATCCATTCGATTGATTGCCTAAGTAATGTCTTTCGAAAATTAAGTATTTCCCCGATACATTCAACGAACGAAAGAGCTATGCTTCCATTGTACACTTTTTTATGATGCGTAAAATCAGCAATATTTTTAGAAAACATTTAAAATCTAACAGTCTTATGCAAAAAAAAACTTACAACATGCTTACTAACCGTTGTTAAGCTAAATTCGATAAAAGTATGTATATCCAAAAACAATAATTAGCTTAAAATACCTGTAGTAAACCATTGTTAAATATACGAAAGTTAATAATGGTTCAATCGTACTTTAAACCTATATTAAAGTCAAATGTCATTATTTCATTACAATTTATAACTGATGACGTTTTGTGAAAAATATTGTTGTGTTAATTTTTTAAATAAATTATAAAAAAATAAATAAATAAAAAACAATATGGATACACTTTTCCTTTTATTTTCAGGCTTTGTCTCCATATTTTTTCTTTTCTTTTTGCCAAAAATATAAATTTTGTTTATAAAATAGTTTAGTGATGTGTAAAATATCAATGCAAATTTAAAGAAAACGCTACTCGATTACTTTCTTTAATCAAAATATAATATTGCAATTACATTAGTTGTTTTATTTGATTTATACGTTGTTTTTATTAAATAAACAAATACAACCCCATTTTTATGTTATTAAAAACGTTATATAAAAGCATAAAAAAATAATATTAGACACGAATACCAAATGAACTAATAATCGTTCATATACAACATTATGAAAATATTGACAGAATAAAATAATGGTATTGCCAGCATCAAATCTAAAAAAACATTAAAATGTATTTTAGTTAAAATACTGTTTTTGCATATACTTTTTTAATAATGGATTATTAAGCTAAAAGTCGTTGTTAACTAATGTACACTTTAAGGTCATAATAAGGTTTTTTTTTGCATAAGACTGTTAGAGTTTTAGTTATTTTGTGTATAAATAAATTTATAAGTCTTCCTCACAACACTTTAATCAAGATTTTCTTTCAGCCTTATTAAGCATCTTGCAATAATTGTCCTTACTCAAAGCCTCCCACCAGACAATGCAACCATTAGTTGGAATCAAAGCTCTAAAAGAATTCATTCCCTAATTCTTTTTTTGAAATTGAATTACATATATTTTAAATAATTAATTCTCAAAATTAATTCTTAAAGCTTTCGATGAAGGTGAATTATTTCTTTAATAAATGAATTTCTATGGAATGTTATATTTCCTTCTGAATGAATTAATTTTACTTACATTCAATCTGTCTTTACTGGACAGTTTTTTTACAACCCGAATGTATTTTTTCCCCTTTTTTGAGTTAATTTTTTAGGTCTTGGCCAGCTAAATTTATAAATCGAACACTGCCCTTGACAAAAAAATATTTTTATATTTAAATGTTTAAATGTTTAATCAATCGACTTGTCCACTTTTAAAATATTTTAAGCAGGAGGAATTTTCATATAAAGGAAATTGAGAAACATGAGCTAAACAATTTTCAGTTTTTTGTGATCTTCCTTGAATTAATTCTATATAAAAAACGCATTTATTATTTGTTTTATTTCTTTGGAATCGAACCGGTTTTAAGAAAAATGATAAACTGAAAATCGGTTTTTTGAAAATGCTATTTTCGAAAAATCCCGAAACCCGTTTTTTGAAAAATCAATTTTCTAATCTTATTTTAAACTTTTTTCAGATTTGTAGATTCTGCTGGCACAGAATTCGAACGGACGAAAACGAGTTATGCCCAGCATGTCGAAAAGAATATCCCGAAAATCCTGCTGATTTTAAGCCATTAACTCAAGAAGAGGTAAGTCATATTATATCACCATGTAACAATTTGAAAAAAAAGTCACACATTGAAATGTCAAGAAAATGCTCTAAAAATGTTTTATTCACATTAAATATGCAGTAAAATGTTTCAAAAATATTCTATGAAAGAAAAGTTTCTGATATTTTAAAGCCCAAAAGTGCCGAAAATTACTACTCTGAATAGAGTATTCAAAAACCGGTTAACCGGGTTTTTTCTTGTCTGAAAACCGACCGGTTTCGAACAGTTTATATTTTCGAATTATTCGCAAATTTTGGGAAAAATATATTTGTAAATTTTGGGACAATTTATTACCATAAATATTTTACATATTATTTTAAAGTTTAATTATAATAAAATTTAACCTAATAAGTGAATTGTTTTAAATTTATTATATTACTAAAAAACAGTACTGTATAAGTTTGTAAAAAAATCGAATGCAATTTCAAATTAACTGCCTGTTCCACATTATTGAAATCACATTTTCTTATAAATATATTGATAAATTAGCAAAGAAACAATAGACATTTCTTTTACAAAAAGTTCACCGGTTAAGGCATTTTGTTATATAATTGGATTGGAAACTATGGTATGTATTTAAAAGAACCAAATAGGAGATAAATTCGGATATCATTAATAAATTGCGGTCCTGTCTGCTGAGAAACGTTTTTCATTTCCTAGGAACATCACAGTAATTCATATGAAAAAATTATAGGATTCTCTTAAAAAAGGTTTCACAAACATATTTTTTAGCTAAATTATGCGAAGAAGAAATACACTTAGGCGATTAGGTAAACGGCGGTTTATTTCTGTGTCTTCAATATATAACCCCATGCCCACTTTGCCACCCAATTTAGAGCCATCCGTGTAGCAATGGATTCCTACGAGTATTTGCTCTAATGTTCCGCTTAATCAAGATATTCTATCTGGGATTAGTGTTTCAAAGTTTCCGATATATTCTGTGTCTGGTATACGATCGGACGCGTCCGATGATTGTGTAGACTTCCAATGTGTCCGGTATACATTGATGACGTGTCCTATATCCGCTTTTGGCCAGTTCGCCTAAAGTTATGAACCGTTCGGCTGTAAGTGCCTCCTCATAGCTTATATATGTATGAATGTTTCAATGGGTGGGTTGGGTTTGCAGAACCTTGGTTGACGTAGTACCCATGGCACCACTTATACCCAAATAAAATAAAATATTTATTTTTTAATAAGAACAATAATCGGTAAATCTTTGAAGCTGTTCAAGTTTGCCTTGTACTTTTTTTCTTAAGCAGTTGAAGTTTTCCGAGTTTATTTGGAGATACATACAAACAGTGAAAATTAATTTAGCTTTCTCTTTCTAATAGAAATAAAAAAATTTTCATAAAATTTATTTTATTTAAGTGTCCAGGTTTGGCTTGGAGCGACTAAACATTCTTATGCAATTTATTGATTAAAATAAAAAAGTGGTGTTATATGGGAACTTGGGTTAAATATGGGCGAATCCCCACAAAATTGTTTATATAGTTTATATTAAACTATATTGTTTATGTTAAACTTAAAAGACAATACTCGTGTTTACACGTGCGTTATGTATTTTTAAGAATTTTGCTGAAAAATGTCTTTGTATAAGGTCCGATGATACCGTTAATACTCCTATTATAAATTATAGATCTGCCGTGATTTTTGCCGTTCTTCAGCGTTATTAAGCCATTTTAGTCGTCCTGGTTAACGAAAATTCCCAACCGTATAATGTCATACACATACAATATTTTTTAATTGTTCGGTGACTATTTCTGATAATTCGTCACATTTCGCGTAAATATTGATTTTTTATTTAAATTTGTTTATATTTGAACTTATTTTTAGCAAAATTCGTATAAATCTGCAAAAAACATAATTAATAAATTCGATTGCTTGCATAAGTACTGTCTTTCGAAGAAATTTAAGCATTTTCCCGACACATTCAAAGAACGAAGGAGCTATGCTACTATTGAAGACTTTTTTATGACGCGTAAAGTTAGCATTACTTGTAGAAAACATTTAAATTCTAAGACTGTGTTTCACTTTAAGTATCTGTTTGTTCACAGTTAAATTCATATTATATAAGCCTTCTAAACTGCAATATAACATTTTAATATTTATCGACAACTATACTGTTACAAAGAAATTTGTAGAACTGAAATTGGTGTACACTTTCTTTTGACGCTCACAGTATATTACAAGTTTTTGAAATTTTAAAACTATTGGTTCATGATCGCTTCATTATAACTTAATTTCCAAAACTTGTTCTGTAAAAGCGAATTTAAAGTAAATGGATGTTTATCACGAAATATATTTAATACTTCGAAAAATTAGGTAAAAAATTAGCAATCTGGGAAATTTTAGATAGCTAAATGAAAATTGGCACATAGCTTTTCCTTAGCATAATTGGCAGGGTACCTAATATTCATTCACTTATCACTCACGTTCATAAAAAACAAGTTAGAGTGCTATATTCGGCTATGCCGAATCTTATTGTTATGGGAATTTTTGACCGATTGTTTTGATTTTCAACATGTGACAAAATTCATCGAATTATCTTTTGTAGTATCTGAGAAAACGAATTAAGAAATAACCTTTAACGTTGCGAACCGATTTTGCTGATTTTCAATACCAAGTTGCTTAGGACTACAACGAATATTTTTGGTGAATTTTCGTATAGCCCCATACAACCGTACCCCCCGAATAGGCCTTTTGAGCCATAAATATGTAAAATGTTCATGTATCAGTTCAAAAATCGGCAAAACTTAGTTTTATAAAGGTATAAATGATACTGCTGATTTTCGTAATGATCACGCTTCATTTGACCCTATCCCCCATACAAAGTCCCCTTCAGAAAATGACTTGATGGTCAAAATTCACTTATAAAGACTAATATCATGATGATATTCTACATAAATAGCTAAGGTTACGTAAATCCCTCTATTACACCGTCCAACACTCAAAATTAGACACGAACCGGATGATATACGTCTGAAACTATAAATTTAATGGATAAAAACTGCGTTTTTAGTTTTTCATTTAGTGATCCTGTGTCCTTTTTAAAGGACTTAAAGTTTTAAAAAGTACATTTTTAAAAAAATATTTTAAAATACTTCTACTGATCAAACAATGCTTTATTTAGTGTCAAGCGAGCAAGAAGAGTTGGGAAATATTTCGTGTTATTTTTATTTTATTCTGTTAGGATCTAAAGATGTAAAAAATGTCTTTCAAAATTTTTTTGAAAAAATTATATTGAAAATCTAAATAAATATTAAAGGATACAAATTTTAAAAGACATTTTTGACATCTTTTTATCCTGTCAGTAAAAAATAAATATTATGCAAAATATTTCCGAACTCTTCTTGTTCTCTTTGATCAGTAGAAGTATTTTAAAATATTTTTTGAAAAATGTACTTTTTAAAATTTTGAAGTCCTTTAAAAAGGACACAGGATCACGAAATAAAAAGCTGAAAACGCGGTTTTTCTCCATTAAATTTATAGTTTCAGACGCATATCATCCGGTTCGTGTCTAACGAGATTTTTCTCTTTTTGTCGTACGGTGTTATATAATAGTAATCCCCTGCCCCAATGTAACCCCTCATAAATCCCTTTTTTGTTAACAAATTGGTAAAATATTTCTGAATTAAGGTAAAAATGAAATTAAATACTTTATTATTAAAATAACTAGTTTTTTTATAATTTGCTGTTATTTTGTGATTTTTTTGTGGACCAAATTTTGCTTGTGGATGTTTCTCTACAACCGCAATTCACTTTTTATCTTTCTTCAATACTTTGAAGAGTTTATATTATTAAAAAAAATTGGCTTATAATATTTTAAAATTATGTGCCAATTTACTTGAATAATTGCATTTTTAAATAATTTAATTTATTAATTTGTTTTAGGGAAAACTATAATTACTTACATATATTTACCCTTTCTTAGCAAACAAAGATATTAAATTAATATTGTTAAATTTTTAAGATTTTTTATATTGTATTTTATTTTATAGTAGAAATTTGTAACCGTTTATGTCCTTATAAAGGCTAGGTTATGGTAATAAAATAAATAAAACGATCAACATTTTAAACATAATCATTGGTGTAGGGTATCATATGGTCGGCCATGCCCGACTATAAATTTTTACTTGTTTTTAATTAGTTCTTTCTGAAATATTCGAAACTATTTCTTTTCATGTGAAATCCTTTTCTATGTATATAAAGAAATTAAGTTAATTTTATGTTTTTTAAATTTTTCAACGAGTTCCACAATTCATACGTTCCATTGAATAAGTGTAAACCTATTGCTGAAGAGCTTATTACACATTCTTAAAAAACAGAACAACGTTCCTCAAAACTGGTTGTAGAAGTAAAGGCGATTTCCAAGATTGCTTTTCAAGAATCTAAAGTGTTTCTTTATGAACACATTCTAGAAGTAGGCAAATCAGAACAAATTCTTAAAATGTTTCTGTAGTATTGTTATCGAAATCATCAAATAAATTTTCTTCATTATAGAAAATAATTAAGGAATTAATAAAGGAAGAAAATTTATTATAAAAATTTGAATTTTGTATAAAATATACAGTAATTTTACTGTTAAATAATAAGTTTTCTTAATCGGTTAATTGATATAAATTATTCGGTTTATTCGTTATTAGAAATTTGGCAATTTTAATTTATTCCAACGATTAATCGTCAAAAATTTATCGATTAATCGATTGACGATTAACTTAGTACTATTGGATAGTAGATCAGGCACAAATTCTCAGCTCTATCGGACAAGAACTGCCGGACTTAGAGAGGACATTTTGGTCATACAGGGTTTTCTTCAAATGAGTGTAACTTTTCACAGCAAAAATTGTCCAAAGGAGTTCAGATAGCTATTTCTTCATTCTTTCCAAAAAAATTAAATTTTGTTTTTTAATATTTTGCTTAAACGAAAGCTTATACAATTTCCTTGAAGGGTTTTATAGTCCCTATTGAATCTTTTTGGG